GGCATCGTTTTACCACGGGGCATCAGGGTGTGGAACTGGAAAACAATGATAGGCTGTATGTGAACCTACAATATTTTTTTTATTTCAAAGCAGTTTTTTTTTCTGTAGGCATGGACGGTTGAAGAGCACACCTCAAACTATGGGCTGCCATAAAAGAAAGCTAAGAAAGATGGGTCTAAACTTCAACTTCATATGGTAGCCCTCAAGTAGCTGCTACAGCTAATAGCAGAATGCTAAGAGCTTTAAAACGACGGCATGCAAGAATGTGGATGACGGCTGCTCTTTCAGGAAATGTTACTTTTAACAAAAAAAAAGTTTCTACAGTTTGATTTGGCCCAAAAAACTGGCAGTCACTTCCTGAAAGATATGCATGTTTTAGCTGATCGAGAGCCACATGCTAACACTTCAAACTGGATGCACGAGTGCAGCGATGCAACTCAGCCAACACTTCAAACATTTGTTTTTTAGATCCAAACACCCATTATGGACCTAATAGTAACACATGTTTGTGCAGGCAGACATACATCACAAATTAATAGCTCAGTCAAGCTACTGAGAAATACAAATTCATGCTTTTGCACAAACAAAAACACATTTTTATTTTAATGTTTGTAACAAGTTTAAGAGAAGCTGATATGAGTTACTTCAGGGTTATCTGAAGAAACTGTCGTACAAAAGTAAAAATAAATAAACGCATTATGTATGATTACAGGTAACATGCATAACCCCCCCCCTGCCCTCCTTAACTTTTATTTTTTTAAATCTTTTGTGAGGTTTAAGTCAAACCTTCCCACTTTCATGTCCATATTTTGAACCACGGGCTGGACCGTCCCTTTAAGACATACAGAAAGAAAAAAAAAAAAAACAAGCAATAAAGGCTTTAAAAAACTTTTCTGGGTAACTTATATTGAGCTAAAAATAACTGAAACTAATGTGCATATAAAACAATATTTTCCATTGTAGTGCTCGTCAAAAAAGTATGTTTTAGTTTTATCAATTAGAAAAAATTATTTTGGGTAAATTAAAACAACAACGATAGTATTCTTGTTAAGCTAAATGTATCTCATCAATTTGGACCTTTAGTGAATAAAACATGTAAAAAAAAAAACATACATAAATTTTATTTTAAAACACTGAAGAACCAGAGCTCTTTTCAGTTTACTCTCCTGAAAGAATTATCACTAGACGCCATTTTAGCAATAGATTAAATCCTTTACAGGATGATACTGTCAAACCTCCATTGGCCATTTAAGGTGCTGGTGCATTCAGGGTAATGCTCGTGAGAGTTTCAGACGTACGGTTTTCTGTTTGAGGCTTTGCCTGCATCAGTGTGCGCTTTACATGCTATTTTAGGACAATCCTAATGACTTTACAGAGTGCCAGGCATTTCATCAGAGCCAGAGAGAGGCTTGTAAAACACACACACACACACACACACGCTCACCACAAAACAGAGAAGAAGCTGGCACTCTGAAACACGGTGGTCTGGACGGAGGCTGAGCGTATTAACAGGGTCAGTCAGGGTGATGGCGACGCTTGATGAAGGAAAATGAGAAACACGGGCCGAAATGATAGATTTTGTGTCTTTGTGACTGTGTGTAGGCAGGGTCTTTAAAAACACACACACATATGAACGGCGCCAAGTGGCAGTGCCTGGTTCCGGGTGGGTTTGGACAGAGAAAGAAGTAGAAGCAGAAATTGTGATGTTGTTAAGGGAAACATCCCACCTAAAAAAAAAAACATAGTTGGTGAAAAACCTCAGCAGCTCGCACACAAATTCAGACATGGAACAAGACAGATGTTATGATTAAAACATAAAGTGGATGGAGGCCCTTTAAAAGGAGAAATACACAAAAAAAGACTTCATGATTTTGGGGAATAGAAAAAAATAAAGACTCAGCTGAAGGACTGAGTGGCCAAAAAAGGAAAATCAAAGTGGTGAAGATGACAAAACACGCAAAAAGAGTAAAAAAAAAACACTGACTAGTTAAAAGCCAAAGCTCTTTCAGCTGATCCAATCTACCACTGCATATTACGACATTACTATAGGTGCTTTGGGGATTTTTAAATAGTTCTTGCAACTATTGGCGCCACCTAACCTTTTTAACTTTTTGTATATGCAGCAGGAACAGAAGCAGATTAAAGTGGTTTAAATAATCTTTCATATTCAGAGATTTCCCAGCTTGAAGAAAGCCACCTCTGCAGCTATACGTTGATCCGGATAATATAAGAGAATGGTAATAGGTTGATAATAAGAGCAACACCAACAAGAGACATTAAATTATTTAGAGATGCACAATATTGAATTTTTGGCCGATATCCGATAACTGATACCAATACCGATTTTTTTTTCTTCCCCTAGACCTACATACAGAAACCACATAGCTTTCTCTGCTGTGGTATTAAAATACTACATTATTCTGCATGGTCTTTGTCAATCTGGACTGCTACCAAATGCAGATGCCAAAAAGGGGGCTGAAAATGATTTAACACTTAAACTTGGACTACGTTTAATGTCAAATTTATTCAAGACATTTACTCTTTCTAACACAATGACAACACTCGAACAGTGAAAATTTGTAAATTTTCACAAATCTAAACTCATCCTGTTCACAAGCAACAAATGAAAAGCTCATAAGAAGTAGTGCATTTATATATATATATATATATATATATATATATATATATATATATATATATATATATATATATATAGACAGCAACTTTTATATTGGTGAGTTATTTTTATGAAATGGCCGATGTCCGATATTTAACTTGAACGCTAATATCGGCTAATACCGATGCCATGCCAATAATATCATGTATCCCTAAAATTATTTGAAACCATATATACACTGTATATATAATATATAGGAATCAGGGATTTACTGAGGCTGTTAAATTGAGTTTTACTCATCTGTGACTTCCTGTTACATTCACGCAATATCTTTATTTGTAGTGAAAACACAAGAACACCATTAAAGGTCTGTTGCTCCTGTAAGGACACTCCCCCATTAATAACATCCTCAAAGATCTTAGTCTAAAACCTTTTTGTTTGTTTGTTTGTTTATTTTAGTTCACTACGAAAAAATGCCAATACTGACTTAAGTGTTCAAGGTTATGGGGAGTGAATGTGTGAAAGTGGTACATCTCAGACGAGACACCAGTCCATCAGGGCTATACAGAGCCACATGAGACCGACACGTTTAGGGTCAATTCAGAACCAGTTTTAACCCTAAAATTTGCATTTTTGGATTAAGATCCTAAAATCTGCTCACCAGGAGGTGCCATCCTAAATCAAAATATGCTCTTTGAAGGTTTTATTGTTTTATATCTCATGATAATATTAAAAACAAAATCAGGATTTAATAATGGTACACTCATTAAGGCAACAAAATTAATTATCAAAGGACTTATTAAATGATTAAAAACTTATTTAATAGTTTGGTCAAGGTCATTTGAAGGTCATCAATGTGGAATATTGACTTTGGGCACAAGGATGAACTCAATCTGGGTGTAAGGAGTTTTTCAGCAGTAAAGATTAAACAGTACTTACCTGACTGTATGTCTGATTTTAAGTTTAAATGACCGTTCTTTCCTAGCAAGCTTATGTAACGCTGTTTTTATATGTTACCTAAATTCTGATGTTTTAATCAAGTGCTGATTTACTGACTTGTTTTTGCACACAAAGCTTCACATTTAAGTATTAAAAGGAGAAAAAAAACTGCAAAAACCTTCTGGATCTAATATTTTTCTAGCACTAAATGAAATTTAATCAACAGAGACATGAAAACAAGTACATTTATATCATGTTTTGATGCATGCTTATTACTCCAGGTAGATAAATCTAAGATAAAAACGTTTATAAAAGAAATAAATCTGAGGGATTTGTATGAAACTTAAAAGCTGGTTTTCATCTCAGCTGTAAATTTGACTTGCATGTAACGGCTTTGGGTCATATAATCTATAAAATCCTTTAACAGAAATAAAATTGGAACTAAAGCCTGTAGCTTAAATTCAGATGGACACACTTTCACAGCTGTCTGAATAATCAGTTTTAATAGAGCATGTTTTCCTTTTGAAAAAAGAACTCAGTCCTCTTGACCGCAAAATAAAAAGTCTGGATTATTATTATTTTTTTAAAGAAATCATGATGATGAAAAATATGTGCAATGATTTTCTGCTCGAGGACGCCACCCAGATCATTTAATGTGCACCGTGATTAAACGACAGCTTCATTTTCTGTCTTCTACGTTTATTCCAAGTGACGCATCATGCAACGCCACATCTGAGGCGTTCATGCTAAACACAGATTTCTCTGCATTGAGACGTACAATAAGGCTTTCATGAACACTGTAGGAAACTAGTACCCAAACCACACGCTCTGTCACAGAGCTCGGAGTGTCTACTGTTACAATTTTCAATGCATACCACATGTAGGGACGCGTTTTGCTTGATATGTTTTCAATATGGAGAAAGAGACGGAGGAAGTCATAGGCAGGCCCAATTTTTAAAATTGAATAATGCGCTGTTTATATTAAGAGTCTGAAAACATAAGTGGTTACTAAGATAAAGCAGCAACAAGCAGGCATTCCCCAAGCCCCAACTTGTCTTTCTACGTTTTCATTTCCCCTTTCCTTGCTCTCAAACATGACAATGGTTTCAACAATGAAATAAAAACCCTTCTGTGAGTTTGCTCCCTGCGCTTTCAAATAAAATAAAATATCTGAGCGTTTGTTCTGCAGACAGGCGCTTGTCGACAGGTGACATGCAGGGGTAAGTCTTTTTAATAATGTAAAAGGAAGCGTCAAAAAACCTGCCAGGCCAGAGCTGTGTGAGCCCTGAACTCCTACACACAATTAAAGAGACACAAACTCACACATGTCACCACGTACAGGAAAAAACAATCGCACAAACACAAAATGAGGCTAGTTTTAGAAACGGGATGACAAAACGTCCTCCCTTCCTGCCAGGTTTCAGGTTTTTTTTCTTTTAAATACCTGTTCCTGCGTCATGCTGTGCAGCTGTGTATTCCAGGAGGCGGAGTCAGAGCGGTGATAGGCTGGGGGCAGGGCAAAGTCCTGAAGTATGATTGGGTCTCGCTCCTGACACAGAGAAGTCAGGTGACTTATGTACAGCTTCAGTTTATTGCAATTCTGATTGAGATCCAGGAGCGAAGAAAGCATCTGCAGGACAGAAAATACATTTTACTGAAAATCAAACAGGAGTACAAAAAGAAAATACTGCGTACTGTATTTTTTTTTTTAAAGGATTTGAGGTCACGTAAGTCAACTAAACAGGTGGACATGCAACGAAGAATGAAAATGAAGAAACAGAGAAAGACAGAAGACAGTTAACTTAGAGAAATACAATAATATAGAACAAAAGTTATTATAATGTGTCAAAGTTCATGCTCCAGGTAAAAAAAACCAATCCAACAAAGTTAAGTTTCCTTCTTTCTGTTGAGACGTTTCGTCCTTCATCCAAAGGACTTCATCAGTCCGAGGAGCCACAACAAACTCAGTCCCACAAGCAGCACACTCACATAGTGGGTCAACCAGTTTGCTGGTGATACAGTGGTTTCTGGGGCCCACCCTCTCCCCCATCGACTCCACTAAGGCAGCCATAGCCAGCAAACTGGTTGTCCCACTATGCGAGTGTGCTGCTTGTGGGACTGTTTGTTGTGGCTCCTCGGACTGATGAATTCCTTTGGATGAAGGACAAAACGTCTCAACAAAAAGAAGGAAACCGTCCTGATGACCAGACTGAACTTTGCTGGATTATTATTATGTGCCATTACAGATACGCCGTATGAGCTGTTGCACATTATTAATTTAATCATAACTTCAGACACTGGTCAGAAAACAACTATCCTTTATCATTCAACACATACTTTATGCAGAATTAAAATACTAAAACAAAGTACTGACATAAACAGAACAACTTAGAGAGTAATTTAAGTCTCTAAACCTCATGTTTTGTTTATCTTTAAATGTTTTAGATAATGGAGCCCATTGTGGATAATCAAAACCCAAATGATGGTCTTCAAAGGATCGACAGAAATCCAATTACCCTTAAAAATAATGTCAAACACCTTGTTTAGCCTCAACTGTTACAAAGAAATGAAAACTTGGTCAGAACAAATAAAAAATCATTTTTGATGACAGTATGCTAAATGACATATTAGTCCTGTTTGTTTACTTCAACCAGCAATAGTTCGGCTGACGAGGCTTCAAGCTGTAGGCTGAAAGCTGAAAAGTTTGGGAACCACTGAACTATGTGAATAAAGAAAATGTTTTAAAGCATTTGCAGCAACAACAATACTTTGAACAGCTAAATGCCAGATTTCAAATGTTTTTTTCTTGTATTATTTTTCCTAAAAATACAGCTTTTTGTTATTGATACAGCAGATTATGTAATAAACTTTAGAGTATGTAATAATTTACCATCTTAACTAAAGGGTATATTTTACATTTTCTTAATATTCTTTCAAAAAAATAAAACAGGTTGCTTAAAAATCTTAAGAAGAAATAACTGTTGAAAAATGTTATGTATGACTTTTTTTTTTGTATTAGGACTTGCAGCCCCCAGAACAAAAACAAAACAAAGCTTATGTGTCGTGACTTTTAGTTTAGAGAAAAACAAGGAGAAAAACACTGAAATGTGTTACTATGGTGAGGAGGTTTGGTTCTATCTGGTACCTAAAACATAATTACCCACTCACAAACAGATCACATTCTTTCTGAATGAGAAAAACATGTTTGTTTTTTGTAGCAAACACACACGTGTAACTGCGCTGCATCACAGTTCTGTTGGGCTCATGCACAACCTTTAAACATTAAATTATTTGCAAACCTAAACGTACAAAAACTGAAAATTTGCAACACAACAAGTCTCATCATTACTGGGAAATTTATGTTGATAGTTATGAAAACAATTGACGATTTTCAGTCATTTATAAGAAAAATAACTTTCTAGTTTTATTCTTATTCACATTCACAGAGAAAGTTAATTTTTATCTTGTTTAAAGCTTGAGTCAATGAACAATTTTGATAATTTTGTATCTTTTGAGCCCCTTTACACAAATCTGACTCTGATTAGGTTAATATTTATTATATCTCCGCATACATTTTTTCAAAATTTGCATTTATGCCTGAAATGTAATCAAGAATAGTTTGTTAGAGTTACATTATACACACAGCACAGCCACAACAGTTAATGCTGCGAGTCTGGTTGTTTGATTAGCATGGGAACGAGGATGTGCGCATAAATAAAGATCGTTGCGTTTAAGAGGTATATAAAGGGCAACTCCACATCGAGACACAAACGTGACGCACACTTACACAGATAAGACAAACTGACTGAGCTTCTCTCCTTATGGAACAGCAGGATTTAAGTGCAGAGGAAGCATGTGGAGAGAGGGTAAGTAAAGTGTGTGTGAGGAAAGTATATTTAACTCAAACAGCGTCTGTCCACACTTTGTGCTCATTGTCACTCAGCAGACACACACACACACACACACACAAGTCTCAACTGCAGGTTTTTTTTCCATTCAACTCAGAAAGATAAGCTCGGCCATCTGAACTCCACCTCTGCTGTCGTCTTGCTGCTCTTTATAAAAACAGGAATTACATGGATTTTTTTTGTGATTGTATTTTGTCAGGGGATTTTCAGTCAAGGTCAAGGATGTTTATCCCTAACTAATGTTAAATTAACATTGAAACGTGTGCGAGTTCAGCGAGTTCTTTTCTCTCTCAGAGAGGAGACGATTTGATCCTGCATGTACAGCTGGGAGGCCGAGGTCATCATGGACTGTCTGAGCTGTGAGGGCTGATAAGCGTGCATTATATAAACAATTCTCGCACACTGTCCGGTGCAGATTCTCATGACTGGGCTTCTATGAGGCTTCTGTGCAGGCCATGAGTGTGTCTGCCTTTGCAAGTAAAAAACGGTTAAATTTTGCTGTGTCCTCAAGTGTGGCTTCTTTTAGTAATTACAACATATTTATTTTAATCAGAAAATAAAGTCAGGCATCATTTTACGCTTCAACTGACCCAACATGAGTCAATATATCTTTATATTAAACTATTTTTCCATTTATTTTCGGACAGATGCAACAAAGATCTTGTGTTGTCTACTTAGAAAATGTCTTTGAGATGACTTTCAGCAACTTCAAGACTAAATTTCAGCTCATCACTGTAATGTTAGCAAAGTCCATGCCATTTTGTGTGCAATAGTCGATGGAGGCCATCTTGAATTGGATTCACCACAAAAGTAATCACTTGTAGATGTACAGGCAATGAATACTTTGAGTTTTATTAAAATCCATTCAGTGATTCAGGAGATATTTTTGGTAAGAGACAGACAAGCACATAAACACAGATAGAGGCAATTACATGACGGCGTGCCACAATAAAAGATGAGCTATAAAGACGAGATAAAACTTTTTTTTTTTTAGCAATGACTCAACCTTACTCAGACGTCAAAATGCCACACAAGATGCAGAAAAAGCATTTAAAAAAGCAACAGGAGTTTCTTTTTCCAGACTGTAGTTAATTGGCTTTGGGGAATGGTTTATCGATTGAATAACAATCATCCACTCATCACTTTCAGCCACATTTATCACCAGTGGAACAACATCACATTATCCTTTTTTGGATGGTTGAGCGTAGAGCAACCCATCTCGCCCTAATCGATTCAACACGGCATGCAGGCGGGATTGTTACAACAAGGCTGCTTGACACTCTTCTGAAGACATTTTTAAATGACACCCAACAATGGAGGACGTTGAGATCATGGTATGTCTGGTGTTCGGTTAACAATTAGTCATACACAAGTTAAACGTGAGACAGAAAAGGCTTACAAGGCTTAAATGACAAAATTATTGGATAAAAGGAAGTCAAATGAAAATGGAGGTTTTGAAACAGTCGTTGCCATGACTCATCCAGTGTCGTGGCTCCCTGGTTAGTCAACAACCTGCAGTCTGCTGATGTAAAATCATCGGATTGTTGTGGCTCACTTGAACCTTGAGCCCCTTTTCTGTAACTCCTCTTCGGCACGACTCGACTCGTTTCAATACGGTTTTGAGCCCTTTTCTACTATCACTTTTTCGTGGAACTGACACCTTTTTTCGTGCCTTCTTCTCAAGGGTACCAAGCGAGCCGAGCCGGCACCAAAACATGATGTCAGAACACTGTCGGTCACAGATTGGTCAGGGGGCGGAGTCCCGGAGATCCACCATTTGCAATTACTGGTGTTCGAACTCGAGGTGCGATTGGACCTATTTTAAAGATTTTAAAAACAATAATGACAACACTGTGGTCTAATGCTGAAGTGTAGGCATTTTTTGTGCTTGGTAGCTGACAACAAAATTCAGAGCAAGCTAGATGGAGCTCCGCTGGTCCCCGACTCTCCCCGGTCCTCTCCACCGGAGCCTCGGAGCCCCCTCAGGCCGGGCAGGGCGTCATCTCCCTGGCTCTGAGCTCTGCTGGTCATCATGGAATATTCTCTGTAGTGATGACTCAGGGCTCGGGCTCTGGGCCGACTTTGCAGGCTCTGCGGGTACTGAAACCTGTTTCAAGGTCTTATCGCCACCAGCTGGGTGGGGCGGCTGTTGCTGAGTGGTTAAAGCAGTCGTCCTCCAATGCAAGAGTTGGGGGTTCGATTCCACCAGCAGTCACATGCCGAAGTGTCTCAGGGCAAGACACTGAACCCCTCGATACCTCCGATGTGTGTCCCATCAGTGTATTAATGTGATAAAGCTCTGATTAGTCTCTTTAGAATGATTTGTTCAACTAGCTTTGTAGCAGTAGTAGAGTGCTGTATGAATGGGTAAATGAGGACACAGATTGTAGTGTAAAGAGCTTTGAGTATCTTGATAAGATGGAAAGGCACTATATAAGTACAGTTCATTTAGCTGGTAAGGCACGTGACATCAATTTGAATCCTGCCCACTGGAATCGGTACTGAAAGCATAATGAAAGGGGCTATAGACACACAACATGTTCTGTACCAAGCCGAGTCGAACTATGTTGTACCGGCACTAAAAGGTACTATGAAAAGGGGGCATTGGTTAGGTAGGTCCTAAGAACGAAGCTGGAAGAGAGTAGGATCACTCAATAGAAAGCCTCTGAAGCTGTGCCGAGTCGACCAGAACAAAGCTGAGTTGAGCGATGAGAAAAGGGCC